AGGTAGGGATTGGTTGTTTTTCCTTTTTGCCTGCATGCTTTCTTTTCCTATAATGCCCATAAGTTCTGTGCTGGTAATCTGTTTGGTTTTTGTCCCTGAACAAGAAAGCTGCTATTAAGACTCTCTTGAAGTTCCTTTCTTGCTTTGACTCCCTAGGATTAAGTCTTTTACCTCTCTTTTCCTCTTACTGGTGTGATGGTTTAGCCCAAGTTCATTGATTGAACCCTAAGTTGGACATTTTGCCATGACGGGCTGAACTTGTTATTGTCATGATTATTTGTGACTGTGTAAACATTTCAAAATGTGTTATGACCCCTTTTTTTCTTTTGTTTTGTTTTTTAAAGTAAGAGTAGTGACCCGGAGCTGAGGGCGAAGCTTGCTTGGTGTACACAAGGCCCTTGACCTCACCCTAGCTGATAATAATAGTGGATTTTCAGTTCGTTTTCATTAGTTTTGACAAATGGTGAATTGTTGCATCTTTATATGAGAGAAATTTGAAGGTTTCACTTCTAAACTATGATAGAGAGTATCATGGAAAGGCAGTGGCCTTGTCCCATGGTTCTGCCTGTGGAGGGCGTCAGCAGCTTTTAGGCTGAAGATTGAGTCTTTCTTACACACATCACCTGTATCCCTGGACAGGCTGTTTTCCGCTCAGTGTCTACTTCCTTGCTTGAAAGCCAAGAGTGTACTTTGGAGGTCAAAAGCGACTCAGCCTTGCAGGGACACGAGAGGAAACCAGCAGTCTTCCTGTACGATCACTGAGAGGATGGCGTCAGTGACTGTATAGAAAGCTCACGGCAAGTTGCACATGTCACTCGGTCAGTAGAAACACCTGGAAACAAACCTCTGCCAAGACCTCCAGCAGTAATCAGCAACCTAAGACTGGAAAACAAAACAAAAAATATCTGAGGCCTATGTTTTATATGGGTTTTATTTTTATAATAACTTTAATGAGGAAATTTGTATACTATAAAATTGACTTTTTGACATGTGCACTTCACTAGTATTTAATAAATTCACAAAGTTATGCTACTATGACAAATTTTTAATTATTTTCTCATTTATTTTTTTAAGACTCATTTATTATTTTTACAGTATTCTGCCTGCATGTGAACCAGCAGGACAGAAGAGGGTACCAGATCTCACTATAGATGGTTATGAGCCACCATGTGGTTGCTGGGAATTGAACTCAGGATCTTTGGAAGAACAGCCAGTGCTCTTAACCTCTAAGCCATCTCTCCAGCCCAAAATCCTTTATTTTTATATATATACGGGAATTTTGTAAGCATGTGCCCTGGGTCCCCTGTACAGGAGTTTCAGATGGTTGTGAGCTAACATGTGAGTGTTAGAAATGAGCTCTGAGTCTTCAAGCAGCAGCCCTCTTAACAGCTGAGCCATCTCTTGAGCCCCTCCTGTGACAAATTTTAGACTCTTCTGTCATTTCTGAGAGACTTTTAGAACATTCCATCATCCCCATGGGCATTATCAATGTCCCCTTATTCTCCTTTGCAGTAGCCCCTGGCAACTACTGATTTTAGTATTTTATCATATTTTTCCATTTTGATGGAAGCCTTTAATGTCTAGCTTCTTAAATGTAGCTTAGTGCTAAGGAAGTTCAACTGAGTTATGGAATTAGTCAGTAACCCATTTTGATGAGCAAATAATTGTAATGGAAATATGCTATATTTTGTTTCTTCATTGTCATAGCATTGGACATTTGGATTGTTCCTAGCGTCTTGGACATTATGGCGAATGATGCCATGAACATTTTCACACAAGCTTGTTTGGATAGGTTTTTGCTCTCTTGAGTTTCTATCTAAGAGTGGGATTGCTCAGTCATGTGGTAATTCTGTGTGTCAATGCCCTTCATTTCACAGCCCCACCAGCATGTCTTTGGTTCCAGGTTCTCTGCATCCCCACTGACATTTGTTATCAAGTGCCGTTTCTTTCAGCCCTCTTAGCGCATATGAAGTAAATGTCCTTGTAGTTTTGATTTGCTATTGCTGATGATGTTCAACATTTGCTTGTGAGCTTACTGGCTATTTGTGTATCATTAGATAAATGTCTGTTCAAACCTTAGGTTATGTATCTTTCATCCTTGAATTGCAAGTCCTTGTGTATTTGTACAAGTCCCTTATCATGTATTTGATTCAAAGGTATTTTCTTCCATTTGTTTTTACTATCTTGATGGTATCTTTTTAATACAAATGATAAAGTACAATTTATTTGCTACTTTGTCATCTTGCTTTTGGTGTTATATATAAGGAAATTTTGTTTAGTTTGAGAATACCTAACCTAGGCCCACATGCATTCCAGGATAGCTATGAATGTTGCCAAATACACTTGTCATGTTGTAGCGTCCACAGGTTAGACGTTCCCAGGTCCGGGTCAGGAAACCTTAATCCTGTTTCCTTCTAAAAGTTTTATAGTCTTAACTCTTCTCTTTAAATCTGATCTTGGTTGCATTAATATCCAATATATTATATATTAGTGTATAAAGCACAAATTTATTATTTTAAGTATATCTAGTTTCCCCTGCATCTTTTGTTAGAAATACTATGTTTTCCAAACTAAATTTTCTTGAGTCTTGTCTGAAATCAGTTGCATATGTGTTCATATATGGGTTTCTTTCTGACCTGCCAAATCTGTTGCATTGATCTTCTATAATATAAGCCTGATGAAGGTGGAGGGGATCAAATACATGGAAGACAGTCACATGCTAGGCCTTACCACTGGGCTGCATCCTCAGTTCCATATTTGTTGGTTACTGTAAGTTGCTGGTAAGTTTTGCAGTATGGAGTATGTTGTCTGTTTTGTTTTGTTTTGTTTTGTTTTTTCTATGTATGTTTTTTCTCATGTTATTGTAGCTGTCTGGGTTCTTTGTACTGTGTGAATTTTAAGGTCACCTTAAACTTTCTGTAAAAGGCAACAGCTAGAAGTTTCATAAGGACTGCTCTGAGTACATGCATCAGTGTTGGGGGTACTGCCATCTTTTTTACTACAGAGTCTCAATATATAGATAGTCCAGGCTGTCATGGGAACTCATGATCCTCCAACCTCAGCCTTCCAAGTGCTGAAATTACAGGCATTTGCCACAACACCTAAAAAGTAATACCATCTTAACAGTGTTGAATTTCTGATCAGTGAGCATAGAATATAAGGTGCCTTCTATTTGGTTGAAGTTTTAATTATATTTAGTGGTGACTTATAGTTCCTAGTGTACAAGTCTGATGCTTACTTTGTTAAATTTATTCCTAAATATTTTAAATTTTGATGCTATTGTAAATGGAATTATTTTCTCAAGTTTATATGCTAGTGGTTTGCTCTTACTTAATTGGAGAATTTTTATTGTAAAACATGTAATAAAGAAGTTACCTTTTGGGCCTCTGAAAGACACCACCCAGAAGGGTATCAAAGCAGATGCTGAGGCTCATAGCCAAACTTTGGGCAGAATGAAAGAAGGGGAGCTAGGAAGACCTGGAGGGAACAGGATCTCCACAAGGAGAGCAACAGAACCAAGAAATCTGGGCTCAGGGGTCTTTTTTGAGACTGATACTCCAACCAAGGATAATGCATAGAGATAACCTAGAACACTGCACAGATGTAGCGCATGGCAGCTCAGTATCATTCATCCAAGTGGGTTTCCCTAGTAAGGGGAACAGGGACTGTCTCTGACATGAACTCAGTGGCTGGCTCTTCGATCACCTCTCCCTGATGGGGGAGCAGCCTTACTAGGTCATAGAGGAAGACAATGCACCCAGTCCTGATGAGACCTAATAAGCTAGGGTCAGATGGAAGGGGAGGAGGACCTCCCCTATCAGTGGACTTGGAGAGGGGCATGGGAGGAGATGAGGGACAGAGGGTGGGATTGGGAGAGAATACGAAGTGAATAAACTGCAATTAATATAAAAAAATTAAAATTTGCATAATCTGAAAAAAAAAGAAGTTACCTTTTTTAAATCACTTTTAAGTATACAATTTATTAGCAGGAGATTTATTCACACAATTCACAATATTCTGTAGCCACTGTTTATTTCTACAGGTTTTTAGCATTCCGAAGAGAAACTCTTAAATTATTTGTTTGTTTGTTTCAGTTTATTCACTTTGTATCCCGTCTATAAGCCCCCTCCCTCATCTCCTCCTACTCCCACCCACCCTCCCTTATTCTCCTATCAGTAGACTCCTTTACCCTTTAAGCAATAAATTTTTATTACACTTCCTCCTAGACACGAGTAGCCCCCCTTTTATCCCTCAATCTACCTATTTGAAATACTATGTGTAAGCAGAATTGTTACATATCTAATTACTTCGTTTAACATAATATTTTCAAGGTTTTTCACATTATGGTATCAGAATTTCATTTTGTAATGAAATTTCATTATAGGTTTAAAGTACATTTTGTTTGCACACTTACCTGCTGATGGTTATTGTTTCTTTTTAAGTCACTGTGAGAACCTGCCGGGGATACTGGTGCTCTGTACGCTTCTGCATCTGTTCTCAGTTCCTTTGGATATGTACTTTGGGGTGGGATTGCTAGATTCTATGGTAATTCTGTGATTAATTTTTGGAGGAATCCACAAACTCTTCTCATAAGGGCTTCAGCATTTCACACTTTAACCACCAAAGCGTGATAATTTAAACTTTCTGCATCTTCTCCAGCATGTGTTCTTTTTGGGGGACTAAGAGTCATCTTAATGGATGCAGATATTTATTTTAAATTGAAAAATAAACTCTGTTCAGCAATCTTTTTAAATGTTAGAACTTTTGATCAGACAGACATTTAGGAAGTATTTCGCAGAAAATGAAGAAACTTTGTAAATTTTCTTTACTTACTGTTAGTCTTGTTTCTTTATTGTAATTTATGTATTTTGTCATATAAAGAAGATAAATGATTCAGTTAAATCTGGAACTATTAGATGTATATTTATGCATGCATGCGTGTGTACATATATATATTTGAGTTTTGAAATTCTGTTCCTATCTTTTCCATGACATTAAAGACAACAGATTCCTCCCATCAAGCTGTGCCAGACAAGGGTGAAGACATCTGTTCGTATTTCCTGAACCCTTCCTTATTGCCAGAATGTTCATCCTCAACCGTGAAAAAGAAAGTGGAAGACTTAAGTGACCCGCCCTCTGAAAGCCAGAAAAGTGTACCTCTTGCCGTGACTGATGCTCTGGAGCACATTATGGAACAGCTCAACGTTTTAACACAGGTGGGTGGAACTTCTGCCTCAGGGCTAAGAGAGACAGAGCCGTCCTGGGTGCAGCAGGGTATGAAACTAATGGAGCAGGGGAATTTTACTGGCAAGGCAAATTCAAATAGTCATTAGCGAGATTCTTACAGCTAAGCTATTCTGAACAAATTTGTTGAGTATCTCAGGAGTGCTCTTTCTCTCGTGTGTGTGTGTGTGTGTGTGTGTGTGTGTGTGTGTGTGTGTGTTCATATGTACACATGCACTCTGCTCTCTTGGCATTCTGTGTCGTCTGTGCAAACAGCAGAGGTACTCAATGCTATAAATGCCATTTGCTCCTAAGCAGTAATGTTTTATCCTTCAAATTTGTGATGTAATATAAATATATTATGTTAGGTCACTTATAAAGAAATATTTAGGGGGCTGGAGAGATGGCTTAGAGGTGAAGAGCACCAGCTGCTCTTCCAGAGGTCCTGAGTTCAAGTCCCAGCACCCACATGGTGGCTCACAACTATCTATACTGAGACCTGGCGCCCTCTTCTGGTGTGCAGGTGTATGTGTAGGCAAAACACTGTACATGTAATAAACAAATCTTTAAAAAAATATGTAGAAAAAAGAAATATTTAATAACATAAGAAAAATTTATTGTACATAAAAACTCTTCTGTAGTACAAAATTTTACCAAAGGTTATAGTTTTCACTGAAAATTATCTGACTGTCCAGTATGTAATGTTTCTCTCCAGAGTTTCTTCCTGGGTAGATGACTTGTCTTCCTATTTTAAAATCTTAGCCAGTCTCTTGAGGCTGTTTTACCACAGCAGAAGTATAATGGATCTTAAATACTGTACTAAAATTCTTCTAGCTCTTCAGAGGTGTAGACCTAATATATGGAAGTCTTGTGTTGAGATGGAAACAGCCATAGCCTCTCAGCCTGCTCTCCTGATTGTGTCCTTTGGAGACTTCTTTTGTTGTCCTCTTTGCTGTGTACAGTGCTGGTCAGCGTCCCTTCACATCACCACGAATATCGCATGAGATAGAGCAAGGACAGTGTCTTGCCCAGAGTGACTATTTCAATCTCATATAGCTCCTGCACAGAAATCACCTCAGTTCTTAACACTGGCCATGCATGTGTCATAGGGCTGCTAGAAACTGTGCAGTGCCACAGGCTCCATTTCCCTTGTCGGGTAAACTATCAGGCACAAAAAGGCTTACTTCTACTCTGTCACCAGTGTTTAGAACTAGTAATTAGGTACTTATTTTTCCTGCACAGACCATCTCTGAAGTTAAGCAGCATATCTGTGGTTTTGAATTTTGACATACAGTGAGAAAGAACTATGTGAGACTTTGGAGTCATATTTGTTTACTAAAAATCATAGTAAACTTGCACATTTTCACTTTGAATTTGTATGCTACCAACCAAAGACCATGCGTGAAGAGGACCCAGACCCCTACTCAAATGTAGCCAATAGGCAGCTCAGTGTCTGTGTGGGTTCCCTAGTAAGGGGAACAGGGGCTGTCTCTGACATGGACTCTGTTGCCCACTCTTTAATCACTTCCCCCTGGTTGAAGGGTGGGAAGGGAGCATTGCTAGGTCACAGAGAAGAGGATGCAAGCAGTCCTAATGAGACTTGATAGGCAGGGGTCAGATGGTAGGGGAGGAGGGTTCACCCTTTCTGAGGACTAGGGGAGGAGAAGAAGGGGGAAGAGGAACGGAGGGTAGGACTGGGAGGAGATGAGGGAGGGGGCTACAGTGGGGATGTAAAGTGAATAAATTCTTAAAAATAAATTTAAATTAAAAAAGAAAAAGAGAAAAGAAATTGTGTGCTAATGGGGACCTCCCTGTGTTTACCAGACATTTCTTTCCCTTTAAAAACTACTGACCTTTCAGATGCCAGATTCAGTTTTAATTAACAGGACTTTTCTTCCCTGTGGCCTGTCGGTCAAGTCTTCCTGAGGACACTGCAGATGAATCTCTTCCCTCCCTGTCCCTCACCTCTGTGGCTCCTTTCTCCTCTTTTCCTGGCTCACAATTAATGGATCACTTCATGTCTCATTACATTCCCCCTATGGTTGTGCTATTGTTAACTCTACAGGGCTCATTTCCTTTTATATATTAAAGAGGTGAAGGCAAGATGGAGCATGCCTGCAGAAGACAAACAGGGAGTATGAGCTAGTCGCACACAAATCAAACTTGTCCGAAGCCATCGTCAAGCTACAGGGTTTATAAGTACTACAGAGAGACAGGGGGGAAGCAAGATCAAGTTGACTGCCAGTGGCAGACAAAGGAATCAGCATTAAGGACAGTGATAATGTACACACCAACAACTTTGGCATGCCTAACTATCATAATACAGATATGTAGCATCTGGCAGGGTACTTGGTACATAACAGACATTTAGGAAAATATTATCAGTACCACAACTATCTTTATGTAATGATGAACTGTGGTATGGAACCTGAAAGCAAAAGCTCCTAAATGATGACTATGACCTTCTGAGAAGGAAGGACAGTCACTCTTTGCCTTGATATTTACCTTGTTTGCCTTCCCCGCATCTCCCCACATCAACTCTACTACTGAGTAACCAAGTCAATAAGAGAATGCACCCTCACTCTCTCACTTGCTCTCTCTCTCTCTCTCTCTCTCCTTCTTTCCCTCCCTCCCTCCCTCCTCTCCTCTCCTCTCTTCTTCCCTCCCTCTTTTAAGAACTCTTATTTATGCAGTGTTGGTGCACACCTTTAATCCTAAGACTCAGGTGTGGGTGTTGGGGAGAGGAAGAGACAGCCTAATCTCTGAGTTCGAGGCCAGCCTAGTCTACAGATTGAGTTCCAGGACAAGGCTACAAAGAGAAACCCTGTTTTGAAAAACAAAAATACCAAAAAGCAAACAAACTAAACAAACAAAAACCCCTTTTATTTATAAAGTATATCAATTACAGGAGCTAGAGTGATAGTGCAGAGGTTAAGAGGTTCTTCCAAAGGTCCTGAGTTCAATTCCCAGCAACCACATGGTGGCTCAAATGAGATCTATAATGAGTTCTGGTGCCCTCTTCCGGCGTACAGGCACACATGCATGCAGAATACTGTCTAAATAAATAAATAAATAAATAAATAAATGAATGAATAAATAAATAAATAAATAAATAGATGGGTCATAGAAAAGTGTGCCAATTAAGAAACGAATTTTCGTGATAAATTATCATTTCCATTCCCTCATTGACTAGTCACTGAACACCACTGAAGGGAGAGACAGCGGGCATTGCCATTGTGCCTGCTCGTGAGGAAATAGATGTGCAGTGGCTCTGGCTTAGGACCCTGCAGCCTTCCCGGCACCGACGGAGGAGACTAGTAGAGTGAGCTTTATGCTAATTGGATAGTCGCTGCGGAACAGATCATTATAAATGTCACAGACAAATGGCCTAAGCCTGCTGTTGGTTGACTGTCAAGAAAAGGAAGGGAAAGGTGGGAACATTTGAGAATTAAAAGCATAAGGAAATGTAAGAAAGTGATTTAAGGGTTGGCATAAGTAAAGCCCAGGACGGAAGAGTAAGGGATGAAACTGAAAGCCACTTGGAGAGTTCTAGGTCATGACTACAGTGACAGCTGGCCTCTTAGGTCAACGTAGTAAGCACTTGAGTTTTGTGTGGCTTTCTAGTCTGTAGTTTAGTTTATAATTTAAAAGGGGGTTGGCTTTAGTTTTGTTTCATTTTAAGAAAGGCTATAAAAGACTGGACAATATCACAATGATTTTTTTCCCCAAATTTAACATCTCCGTATATACTGAAGGAGTTAGGCTAGCTAGACCCACCGAGTCCTTGTGGCCAGCAGCAGCTTAGCTTAGACATTCTCGACCCTCAGTCCTCCCACCGAACTGCCAGTAGCAGTCATGCTGTTTTCTGTAGTGATCGCCCTGCCATCTGTCACTACAAGACAGACTCTGACAAAATGTCCAGTGGTGACATGTCAGTAGTGCCTGGGCCAGGAATGTGTAGCTTCTTAGAAAACTGGATGACCTCATCCCTGACCCTGAGTTCAGGAAGATCATATATAAGAACATTCTCCAGAGGGCTGTCTTACACCCCTTTCTCTTCAGACGCATCAGTTGTTTTGTTTGGGTTGGGTTAGGTTTTTTCTTTTAATTTCCTCACTAGTTGACAGTGCTTTGCTCTGCAGGTGGGCTCAACAGCACACTAAGCTGGGAGCCCAGGTTTTTAGTCAGTTTGGAGGCAGATGATTTATATCCAAGTCCCAAAAAGGGTCTCCTATGATGACGTGCTCATCACCGCACTAATCCCCGGGTTACAGGGCACTGACACTGTCGTCCTTTTCTCACAGACTGTTTCAATTCTGGAGCAGCGCCTGACTTTGACAGAAGATAAGCTAAAAGACTGCCTTGAAAATCAGCAAAAGCTTTTCAATGTCGTCCAGCAGAGAAGTTGACCAGGAAAGTGTGTGAGCAACAGGCCAATAAATGAAGAAATGTTCTCACTCAGGAAGGCGGCAGAGGCATTCCACACACCCCACCATATATACTAGTTTCCATATTTCTTCAGAGGGTGAGCCACAGAATGAAAGGGTCAAGTCATTTTTAAGGACTGCCTTAAACATGTAAATCAATGTCAAGGATCAATTTAAGCTCCTTAAGGTATAATTGCAGTAAGAAAGTTATGAACATTTAAATTACCCCATTCCTCTCCACCCCATACTATTTGAAATGTCAGTTTTTATTTAATATGCCCACCAGGAAAGTAAGCAGATCTCTAGATTTTATTGTTAAATCATTTCAGATTGACCATGTTCAGGCAATTCCTGAAGGTAGTTAGTGTATTTCTTAGGTGAACAACACCCTTGAGGTGAAATCATTCACTTGCTCTCAAATAGCACCTGAAATGTAAAAAAATGTGTAATTGAGCTGGCTCATATTTCTTTCAGGTCAACAAAAGAACTACACTTTACTAATGCCTTGAAAAGATGGTCCCTCAGAATTCTCCCAGCAAGAATAATCTTATCTCAATTAGCAACAGTGCTCACTAACAGAGCAGGGCTTTTCCTTGTCTGGTAGGAGTGGGTACCACGCAAGGCTCCTCTGTTACAGGTGAGCACTGAGTGGTCTGGGTCATACTGAACGTGTGCTCACAGTTTGCACAGATTGTGTGATTTCAGTGTGCCAAAAACCAAATGATGAAAAGCAGATGTAGCTATACATGAATTACATATGCCATTGCTTAGGGTGAAGCTGGTGGCTGAATAAGTGCATTTGTATTTAGAAAATAATTTGCACTGTCTATTTTATCTTGATGAATTGTGATTTGAAATGAAAACAAGTTAGGCAGTCTAAAGATCTTGGTTACAAGTTAAGAATGTTTTTTTATCTTGAACAAAATGGAAATCAAAGTAGAAAAGAGGCAATTTCAAGGCAGCTGGTTTTGGGCATGAAGAACGAATGCCAGACACGTCTGTAGCAGGCACAAGTGCTATCTGTGTACTGAAAAAGAAGAACTGAAGTGGAAATACAGACATTTTTCTCCCACTAGCTTCAGTTATATGCCTATGAGCTGTATAAAACTGTATACTGTAAACAAACGCCTTTTCTGTCCTCTAAGTGTGGCCGTCTAGACATTTTCACAAGCTCACAAAACTAAGTGGCCGTGTATTTTTATACCTCCACTGAGAAAACTACAAAAACATGAAATGTAATACCAACTTTTGTTTACTCTTTTTTATGCTTCAAACAATAAAGATACTTCTCTTTTTAAAGAACAATAATTAATGTCTTCTCCTTTTTAAATATTTAAAATCTAGAAATGCTAACCTTCTCATCACACTCACCTAGGCCGCAGTGTGTGTACCAGTCTCCTGGAGAGCTCCAAGATTCAAGGCCTTATCTCCAGCGTTTGCTCCTGACTTACCAGCTCTAGAAGAGGCCCTGTGCCCTGGTCTACAACAAGCTTAAAGGGATTTGGTTGCTCCTGGCCTTTGGGCTCCCATTTACAGATCCAGTTCAGCTGCCTCTGACAACCTGAGGTGGCCACATACTGCTTCATCTTCACAGATCCTTGATAAAAGGTAGTAAGAACAAAAACAATAGCCAGGCAATGGTGGTGCAGAACTTTAATCTCAGCACTTGGGAGGCAGAGGCAGGCAGATCTCTTAAGTGTGAGGTCAGCCTGATCTACAGAGTGAGTTCCGGGACTACACAGAGAAACCCTATCTCAAAAACAAAACAAATATACAAATAAAAAATCAAAAATACCCTGAACATTTTTTTAAGGGGTCATTTTATGATTTCCCCGAGCTCTGTTTTCCCATCTCTTGAGGAATCCCCTTCACCAACACCAGCAGGCTCTGCTTCCTGACTTCGGCATCTTCTCTTAGAGCTCTAATGAGCAGCTGGGCTGCCAGCACATGTGTAATCCAGCCCCGGAGGACATCAAGGCCAGCCTGGGCTACATGAGACCTTATCTCGAAACAAAACCTTCGTGTGGGGACAGTCTCAATTATGAAGCCCTGACTGGCCTGGAACTTGTTATATAGACCTGACTTGCCTCAAGCTCAGACCCTCTAACAGCCTATGCCTCCCAGGGCCTGATATTAAAAGCATGAATCACATGTCCAGTGTTGAATCACTGGACATGAATCACATGTCCAGACCTTCCCAGGCATCACCAAGTAATCGCCCCCAATGACTACATCACCAGGAGCTCCTGCCTAGCCTTCACCACCTCAGAAGTGACGGCCTTCCCTTCATTGCTCAAATCCAGCACTTGAAGCCATCCTAATTCCCTTATCTCACACACAGTTCATTCCTTCAGAAGTCACCCCTCACCACCTCCGGTTCCCGAATCAGCCGAGTCATTGTCATCACTTGCACACATCACTCCAGGTGACCCATATAACTTGTCTCCCTTCTGTCACCCCTTCTCACCCTTGCACAGCTGGCTAGCGTGGTTCGAGAAAAGCCTGAGTCAACAAAGCACGAGTCTCAGCCAGGCTTGGCATGGTGCACAGACCTGTATATAATCCTCAGTGTTCACCAAGTTGAGGCACCAGGCCAGCTGGGTCACCAAGAGACTGTGTAAAAAGCAATTGCAACAAAGCATGGCCCCATCTCACTAACAGGAAGAAGCTTAACTGCACAGACTGTCTGCCCACCCTTAACCCTGCTAGTCCTTCCCTCTAGGGCATCTTCATTAAGCCACGCCCTTCTGCCTACAGGGTCTTCTTGCCTCCCTTGATTGGAGTTGTCTGCCTTGAGGGCATTGCCAAACCGCTTCTGTTCAAGTCCAGACACCAGACAGAAACAGGAGCCTCCCTACCCCTGACCAGGCTTCCTCCAAAGCACCTCTCGTCTAATCTACCTGTCTCTCCAGCAGGCCTGAGTTCCAGGCAGGAATGCTGCCTGCCATTCCCTAATAGAACTTTCTCCTTAATAAACTCTTCCACCAAATACATGGCGATACTCAAACTTTCTGCCTAGTTGCTTGCTAAGATTTTCTTTTGTGGTAGACTCCTGTCATAAGTAGAAAGACAAATGGGATGTGCATTGAACTTATGACAGGAGTCTACCACAAAAGGCATCTGAAAGACTCTACCTAGCAGTGTTTCAAAGCAGACACTAAGACTCATAACCAAACCCTCGGCAGAGTGCAGGGAATCATATGAAAGAAGGGAAGTTAGTATGATATGGAAAGGATAGGAGCTCTACAAGGACCAAACATATCTGGGCACAGGGTCTTTTCTGAGACTGACACTCAACCAAGGACCATCTATGGATATAACCTAGAACTTCTGCTCGGATGTGGCCCGTGGTAACTCTCAGTAACCAAGTAGTTTTTCAAAGTAAGGGGAACACGGACTATTTCTAACAGGATCTCAAGGGCAGGCTGTTTGACACCCCCCCCCCCCCCGGGG